GATTCAGTTGAATTTTAGTTACTCATATTTTTATATTCTTAGGAAATGTCTTATTCTGGAGGTCTGCTTGATGGAAAGAAAGTCCAATTTTTTTTAAATCTGTTTCTTCAATTCAAATTTTCATTTGGTTTGCAGTTTGATTCTATTTGACAGCCTCATATGAAAAAGATTTATTACCTTAACTCATACAGAACATTCCAGTTTCAAGTTAGACATGAAAATAACAAAGGTGCAAAAAGGAGTGATAATAGAGTAGGCCCTTAATTTTCTTCAATTAATTAATTACTACTTTCTCTCTACCTCAATTTTTATTTATTTATTTATACAAGAACAGGGGTACAGGTCAGAGGAGCCGGAGGGTGAGAGAATTTACCAAAGAGAGCAGGGAGCAGAACAGGCAGGCTGACAAAGTTACTGCTGAGGGGAGCAGTGGGCGAGACAGGAGAGGTCTGCCACACCATGTGGGTTTCTCCCCGGCCAGCTGGGAACTGAACCTGCAGTGCAAAGGCTGCAGGCAATTCACAGTGCAGCGCTCAATCCGCTGCGCAATCGGGGAGGCCCTAACTCAATTTTTTAATTAGTATTGCTCACAAGAAATTTAACAAACTTATTTTTCAGGAATGTTGTTCCCAAGCTAGTAGATGGGTAATTCAAAAGTACATCTAAATAAGGTAGATTTTGATAAAGCCAGTGATTATTAACATTGTTATTTTATTGAGGTAACATTTGTTTATAATATTGTATATGGTTTTGGGGAGTAGGTTCATACCTCCTATGATGTGTGTACCCACACTCCACCTACCACCAAAGCACCCAGAGCCCTTTACCAAAAATGATTGGGCCCCTCTTCCTTTTATCCCACCTACCACTTCCCCCTCTAGTAGCCTCAATTCTGTAGTCAGATTTCTAGAGATAACACCTCACTCCTGCAAGAATGGCATATATATATATGTATGTGTGTATATATATACACACATATATATATACACACACACCAAAAAAAGTATGTGTGTGTACACAAAAAAAAAAAATACAGAAACAATCTGTTGGCAAGGATATGGAAAAAATGGAACACTCATATACTGTAGGTAGAAATTCCAGTCCCTATGGAAAGTCAATGACTCAAACACCAGGGTCCCTCACCTGCATAGCTCCCTCCAAGACCTATGTAGTCATGTCTGATTTTCCATTCATAACATATTATTTTTTCTTAAACCAGGTCCTCAAAAGCTGAGACTTCACAAAATGTGGCTCTACACCTACTTACACACTAATGTAAGGTTACACACCTACTCTTTCTCCTCCTCCGGGCTTACATCAATGAATGTCCCCAGTATATACTGAGTTATTCTCTTAAGTTGGAGAGAGATTCCAATTCCCTCTTTTCCCAAGTTGTACAGGTTCTATACCTGCACCCCATCTGGCCTCGGTTTCCTGATTCCTGAAATAGACTCCTCCTAGATCTCCCTCATTCAACATCTCCCCATTCCATCGTCCATATCTTGTGTGAGTGCTTCTTTAAAAATTGGGTTAGGGCTTCCCCGGTGGCACAGTGGTTGAGCACTGGGTTGTGAAGCTGCCCGCAGCCTCTGCAGCACGGGTTCGATCCCCGGCCACCGGGCGAGGGTCCCACATGGCACGCAGACCTCTCCTGCTGCTCGCTGCTCTCCTCAGTGTGTTTCATCAGTCTGCCTGTTCTGCTCTCCTCTCTGGCTCTGGTGAAATCTCTCACCCTCCCGCGCTGACTGTACCCAGTGCTTGTATAAATAAATCAATCTTAAAAAAATAAAAAAAAATTTTAAAAATTGGGTTACTTTCCTTCTTGCCCTGTTGTTTTTCTAACACACCCCACTACCTTCAGGGTAAAATGTGAATTCTTTATGAGGCAGAAAAGATCCTTCTTCACTGCCCTCTGCCCTTTGTTCTGGGCTCATCTCTCTATCCCCAACTCAAAACCTGTCCTCCTCATAGCACACCAGTGAGTATTCTGGAGTCTGCTTGGTCTGCCTTTGCTGACTCCCACACAGTCCTGTTTGCCCAGATCACTCCTTCAAGATTCAGTCTGGTTTTTCTCTCTTTCAGGGAGCTTATAAATGAAATCTTCCCATCAACATGATTTTTCTTTGTGCTGTGTAACAAAGTGTATTGCTGTAGTGTGTTTTCTTGTCTGCCTCCTACAACAAAGAAGCTATGAATTCTTTGTCCCCTGGATCTTCAGTACTTTCCTAGGACAGTACTTGGTCCATAGTGAATGGCTGACCAAGAGTTGGACAGATAATGCCTGAAGTGGTGGTGAAGGGAGTGGTCTCATATTGCTTGAATGTCTCACTTACCCCTTCCTCCTCCATTGCTTAGATTGTGTTAGACTATAGATTAAATCATATCCCATGACTCACAGATCCAAATCTGTACAGTTTATTCTGTGATCCCTGATGTGGGGTGTGGATTTTCCATCTTTGTGTGTAATCCCTATATACAATAAATCAGCATTATTATCAAATTGAACTGTAGATTTTTAAAATCATCTTATATGAATCAGTATTAAGTTAGGCACTTCAGAGGCTACATAAGAAAAGATAGTGGGCAAAGACCATTGCTGGAAACCAAGTCCTTATAACCTAGTTAAGGCAGTAAAACCACAAGTATATTAGCTAAGGCAATATTGAAGAAAATGGAGTTAGAAAATACTGAGAAAAATGAGAAAAGAATGCTCTCTAGGGCCAGAATTACTCAGGACTTCAAGGAAAAGGGTTTGATTGACCCTAAGGCATGGGATATAAGTCTATAGATAACTATAAAGTAGAACTAGAAGGAGAAATAAGGAGGCAGGGGTCAGTGAGGTAGGAGAGAATCCATGGAAGAAGATTGTTTCATAGGAGCGAAAATGAATTTTAAGTGCCCATGGATGGATGACTTGATAAAAAAAAAAAAAAGATGTAGTATATAAACACAATGGGATACTTTAAAGCTATAATGAAAGATGAAATCTTGCCATTTGTGACAACACAGATGGAACCTGAGGGGACTATGCTTAGTGAAATAAGTCAGAAGAAGAAAAATACTGGATGATTTCACTCCTATGGAATATAAAGAAACAGACAAAATAAAACCAAAAACAAACTCTTTGGTTCTGACTACAGAGCTGAGGTTACCAGAGTGGGAGTAAGGGCAGAAACAAAGGATGGAGGAGATCTGATGGACTGTGGGGAGGGGGGTTATTAGCACATTGGTGATAGAATTACATTAGCACATGATGTGGTAGCATGCATTTGAGGGGATGTGAACCTGTACTCCTACAACATACAGTGTGTTGTAAACTAATGTCATTTCAATAAAAAATCAATAAAATGGTTAAAATAATTTTAGAAAGAGTAAATGGGGTAGATTAAACATCCTTTTAAAATTCTTTGTCCTACATACTGTCAAGAGAGTAAGTCAATTTCTCTACCTCTTGAAACTTGGGATATATTTGTACTGGAGATAGAAAATGGAACATGTGGTATAGTGTGACTTCTAGAATGTAAACCTCATAAGGACTCTTTTAGGCCTTCCTGCCTAAGTGATATGCCTGCTGATGTAGCCACATGAGTGATCCAGGTGATGCCAGCAGAGCCCCCCACCTCAACAAGCCAATCAAAGAATCACAGGAGATAGCAAATTGCTATTTTAAACCACTGTGTTTGAGGATGACTTGTTCCATTGTTGTGATACAAGCTACAGGGACGTATGAGCAGTGAAGGAACACCAGTAGATTGGAAGTGGAATCTGTCAGAAATGTTTCCAGTGTACAGATGGGTACACTCATTTATCAAGGTCTAGGGCTATGAATTATCTGAATTGTGTATTTGTAATTAATAGTCTTGTTCTGAGTCTGTGCTTGCCAAGAAACCCAATCGCTTGGCTTCCCCTCACAAGACTCAAGCCAGGCAATGTGCTAGTGCAACTATGGGTACAACCAGCCTTCCTGACACTTTTCTCTTTGTAAATGAATGTTTACTTTATTTTTTAAAACAGGGTCCCATCTCCATCAAAAATTGGTGCTGCAATTTAGTATTTATAACTTGAATTAAAAGAACATTTTTCTGTTTACTAAAGTGAAATGCTTTAAAGATGTACGCCATTTAAATGTGTATAAAATAGGGGCCTCCCTGGTGGCACAAGGGGTTAAGGTGCAGCACTTTGAAGCTATCTGCAGCCTCTGCAGCACGAGTTCAATCCCGGGCTGGCCAGGAAGCAACCCACTTGGCGCAGCAGATCTCTCCTGTCTTGCCCGCTGCTCCCCTCAGCAGCGTAGTTCAGTAGATCTGCCTGTTCTGCTCCCCACTCTGTCTCTGGTGACTCCTCTCACCCCCCGCACCTCTGGCCTGTGCCCCAGTTCTTGTATGCATAAATAAATCAATCCTTTTAAAAAGTTAAAAGGGAGGCATTTTCTACAGTCTACTTCTAAGTTAAATTGTTTTGACTACCTCTCCAAGGGAAATTTATTTAACCAGTTTTCTAAATGCTTATTGATATAAGGAATGATCTTTCTTAAAATGACTTTGTGCCATATTTAGAATAATAGCAGATATTGAGGTCCAAGAGTTTCCCTGAGGATTTTAGCCTTCCCAGGTGGTTAGGGTTGAAAGAGACCTACAAGTAAGATGGAGATGGAAGGGCTGAAGTCCACAGGGTGTGATATTCCAGGATGTACCCCAAACAGCCACCACAAGACAACCTTCTGTGTGGGGGAGCAAGAGAAATGGAAGAGTCTTCAATAATTATTGAAAAGACCTTCAAAAGCCTCACTTGTTATAAAGCACTGGTTATTCTACTCCTTGACTGAGTCACCCCAGTAAAACACATGCAAAGAAACTGGTTTATGCTTTGAGATATGGTTTCACACCAAAGGGAATGTCCTGAAATCATTTTATATATTATTATTCTTTAGTTCTATATATTGATAAAAGCAGCATATGTGGCCAGAGTGCTGTTTCGAGAGCAAAGCATGGGATACTCACTGATTTGCAAGTTCCATGGATATTTGTTCTAAGGAGCATCCCTTTGTCTCAGGTATAAACAGAACAACAAAAGCCAGAGATGCCAGACTCATGATTGTGTAGATGAAACACACCCACGGCAGGCCAATGAGATCTATGAAGGACAAAAGATATTGGTTAGAATTGTATTTTGTGTTGCTTTGATCCTACATGTGGATAGTTGCTGCTTGGAACATATAAAAAAATATTTTTTCAAAAATACTGGCAGTGTCCAGAAAAATAGTAAGCACAAATTAGAAATTTAACCAGTCTCTGAAAACTCCCTTTTGCAAACAGCCTCAACTGTTTTTGGTGAAGCAGACCACAGTCTTGTAGCGATCACATTATAAACTTGACACCATCTTCTTGGTGAGCAAGTCTTTCTATTTCAAAGTGGCAATGGATGAACTCACTGCAAAAAGAAAACCTCAAATCACATCAGAGCATAAAAGCAGAATGTGAAGACTCCTCTCCACAATTTCTCTCTTGGGAATCACTATAGCAGTTTGATTTTTAGGTGGTGGACATTTTTAAAGACAATTTATACAGATGGACTTAATTTGGAATGAGTTCCCCTTCTTTACTCGGCATGAATGAAATGTTTCATGTTGGCAATATTTTTTCATTCCAGTAGCTGGCAGTGTATTTGTAATGCCTCTTTCTGGGTTCAGAAAAAAAAAGGGGGGGAGTAATGATTCTAATGAAAGGCATGAACTTGCTAAGATGCATCTACAAGGATCCTCAGGGTTTTTATGGAGTTCACCTGCCAACCTAGCTTTTCCACTGACCACTTCCTGTCAAAGGAACAGTCCCTTTGTATTTCCTCACCAAGTTCAAGGTCCATTAACCCATGTATAAACAGAACAACAAAAGGTCCCCCAATGCAATTGAGCCAACAACCACTTATCTGGTGCTGCTGCTCCTGGCTCAGCAGAAGAAAGTTCATTGCGGTGGGGAGTAGCAAGAAGGAAGCTGACTCAGAAAATAGGCTCAGACCAGCCACAGACTGAAACAGTACAGATAACCCGTAACAGCCCAAGTCACAAATCACCGTTAGCTAGACACAAATCATGAAACTGACCAAGCAGTCATATACTGAGGTAGTTTTGTCAATGCAATGTGGAAAGAGTTAATCAAATTAAGGATTTGTCCATCAATTGTGCTGAGGAGGGGAGAAGTAGGAGGCAGGAACAGCTCTGCAGTTTTGGCAATTTTAATTAAAGTCTGATCTCTCTGTGCTTTGCTTGCTGCTGGCACAGGGTTTTGTTAAAGTGTTTAATAAAGTGCTTGTAGAATTGGTCCTTCTTTCTCTCTGGGGCATAAAATACAAATTTAGAATGTGAAAAAAAAATACAAAGTTCATCTCATCAAACCCATAACCTGTGCTGTTTGATTACTTTCAGTAATGAGGAGCTCACCACTTTACAAAGACTTGTTGCACTTGAGCCAGCCGGCTGTGCTATAAAGGGGTTGCTTACTATGATACTATCATTTATAAAATATAACTAGCTGGTTATTCAAATGACCAAAAGGTATTTTTCATACATATTTGGTCTTCATCATAGTTCCTGGCTCACAGCTCTTAAAAGCCTGGGAATTTCCTAAGTGTTGAGAATAATAAAGACTTCCCTTGTTAAAGATGTGAGTTTTGGAGAAGCAGGTAAGGATGGAAACTTTTCTAGGAGAAACACCCTTGTGACAAAAGGTTGGAAATTCCAGTCATACTGAAAAACTGCTGGGAAGCGAGAGTGGCTGGAGCTAGAGTTCAACTGCCAAAGGCCAATGAATTCATCAACCATGCCCATGTAAGGAGGGTGGTTCAGAGAGTTTCCAGATCCAGGAACCAGAACACTTTGTATCCCTGTGCTGGACCCCAAGCTCCACAGGACAGAAGTGCCTTTGTTTGGGACCTGGCACTGTGTCTCTTCATCTGGCTACCGATTTGTGTCCTTTGTAATAAGTTGGTGATCGAGTGAGTAAATGTGTTTCCTGAGTTCTATGAGCCACACTAGCAAATTAGTCAAACCTCAGTAGGAGCCTGTGGGAGCCTCTGATTTATATCCAGTAGGTGAGAAGTACAGGTAATAATCCAACTTGAAGCTGGCACCTGATGTCTGAGGAGGTGGGAGGGTCATGAAAACCTCCGGACTGTAGCCAATTGATCAGATACTCAGGTAGCAGTCTGGGCTTGTCACTGGTGTCTGAGGTGGAAGATGGCCTGGGGCAACTGAGCCCTTCAACTGTGGGACCTGACTCTCTCCAGGTAGACAGAATCAAAACTGAGTGGCCTTCTCCGACATCCCCCTAGTGTCTGAGAAGTGCTTGTTGGTGTGCGGAAGTTTCCATACACGCCCATGTTGCAACTGGATCCAGGAAACCCATCTACTTCTCCAGCCTCCACATCTAAATAGCAATTTACAGAAAACACAAAAGACCAAAGGTCATGCAGCATTACCAAATTAGCAAAACCAACCTAGGGAAAATTCTGTGAAACAAATGATGTGGTTTTCTTTGTTAAAAATATAAGATCTAGAGGTGAGGGAGGAAAAATGGAGCCAAAACCTAAAAATTATGAGAAATATCACTCTATTGTAAAAGATACATTGAGATGGTGATTCAAGCAAAGTATAAAAATAATTATAAAACAATTTGAAGAACACTGGCTATTTAACACCAGGTGATTGTTATCAGTATCTCTAATCTGATAGTGATGTTTTGGTCCTATTTTAAAAATGTTTTTCGTTTTCAGGGGATCTTGCTGAAATTTTACAGACTACATGGCATTCTATCTGAGTTATCATTCAAAATAAGGGAGGGGTGGGGAGAGCAGGTCCGTTACAAATGAATTCAGATTAGTAACTGTAACGCAACCAACCCATACCAGGTAGGTTCATTAACGGTTCTAGCAGGCCTGTTGTCTTCATGCTCTCGGCCTTCTGTAGTCGCCGTACTCAGTTGCGCTCTGTCACTCTCCTGCGCACGCTCCACTGCACTCCTCCATCCTCGGCACCACACCACCACACTGCACTCTGCTGCGCCACCCTTATAAGCCCAGTCTCTCAGCCCAGGTGTACCCACCTACGCATGCCCACACCTTGCTACAGGTGTCCGCCATCAGGCACACATTCAGGGCTGCAAGCATCCACCATTAAGCCCAATGGTGGGAGGGCAGAAAAGCCTGATACTTTACCTACCCTACAGTAACTATTTAAGTTGGGTAGTGAGTTCATACACGTTCGCTTTACTTTTTGAGAATGTTTGAAATGTCCACAATAAAGTGTTTTTTAGGCGCCAGTACTTCCCTAACGTCTGCCCTAAGAGCACCAAAGGCATAAGAGGACAGCAAAGATTGCTTACCGGTCACAGTCAAAAACGTCAGAGAGATGAGCAGGTTGATGCCCCAGTTCATGCTGGAAGTCAACGCCATGGCTCGCCCTCGGATTCCACCCGGAAAAATCTCACTGAGCACCAACCAGGGCACTAGCAGAAAGGGAACAGTGGTGGAAAACAGCAAAATTATAAAACAAACAAAAAAATCCTTGAAACTGAGGGCCAGCCCACTAGTCGTTCACCTCATCCCCCCTCATCCTGCACGATTTGTGGTTGGCAGGCTCGGTTGTCCTTCCTCAGCAGGAGGGGAAAGGGATGTGCTTTCCCCTCACCTGATCAGGAGAAACACTGAGAGTTTGACCATGGGCGAGGGGACTAGAGGAAGGACATAAAACCCTGGTATGTGACACCAGGCAGCAATGAGAGAGCAGGCTTTGGATATCCACCAAGCATGGGCACCCCAGTGCCCAGTTCTACCTGCCAGGGAACTGGGCCCTTTCCTCTAATCAGCATTGGCCCTGACCTTGTAGAAGTCCAACATCACAGCTGATGAGGGAGTAGGCAATGGAGCGAGAAGGGTGGGTGGAAGGAAGCCAGCTACTCTCACCTCTTCCACTCAGCCTTTTTGGCCTTGGGCAAGCTGAGAAGTTCTAAATGAAACAGAGTTCCAAGATTTGATGATTATACCAGACTAAACATCTGAATTTCTGAGTGGAGACTTCTTGGCACTAAAACTGATCAGAGCACTTTTTATTATCTGAGAGTGACAGGGACCATTATGGAACCTGTCTGATGGGATTAGCAAGGGCAATAGAGGAACAAATTAACTTGTCTTCTGCTCACAGCCTATCAAGCCCAGTTTGTCTAATGAAGTAGCTATGAGTTCATCACTGGGACGAGCACTTCACAAACACGATCTCATTGGATCCTTGCAAAATCCCTACAAGATAAGAATTATCTTCTCCAAAAGAGAAGAGCTTAGAAACAGCATATTTGTTAGAATTCTCAGAAGAGAATGTGCCTAATTTCTCACATGAGGAATTGAGGCTTAAAGGACTTAATAATTTATGAGGTCACAGAGCTCACGGCCAAGGCGGCACTGAGCCTTGGCACTGAGACTTTGTAACTCGTGGTTTTTAAACATGGTGCTCGCTTTACAATGGTTCAATAAATGTTTGTTAATCAATAAATAAATGTGGAATATAAGCACCTTTGATTCCATGCAAAAACTTAAGTTGCTTCAGTCTTGGCTCACTGCTGGCTAAGGATTCCTGTGTTGGAAAATGAGCTTTTATACCCAGATCAGCTGCACCATCCTAGCCCAGAGGAGGTGGTGCGAAAAGAAGGAAGAAACTAGGAGACACCCCACTTGGACAGAATAGGATTATCCACTCTGCTCTAATTTTACAATTCGCCACTCAGAATAAGATCATGCTCTACAGAGGGCACAGAGTAAATTTGCTGTTTTTTTAAAATAAAATAAATTGAGTTATATTTATACTATCCAGGGAGATGGAAAAACTTTTTCTTGATTATCTTCTCCAAGTGAATCTATATAAAGGGTTACCATTAGATCATGGAAGACAATTGTAACAAAAGGAATGTGCTTCTTATTGTTCAACCTAACAGGGAATTTAAAAACAAAATTCCATTGCCCTCTCCACTTCCTGCTCCAAAAGACTTTCACTAGGTTCTTGCAGATTATATCATAGGTGAAATTATTTTTCACTTAATGTTATAAGTACAATGCTCAGGGAACCTTGTTTTGAGCTTTGCAAGTCTGGAGATCTGGCTACAAGTAGAAAGACCACTACATAATCCTGCCTGAAGGAGCCTTTGTAAAAACCTATCTTTGGACAAATACAAGATAAAATAATAAAAATACAATTTTTGGAAACTAAACAATCCATGCCACATACCTATCTTCCTGTGCCCCCTCCTGAGGAGTAGGTTGGGGAAGGAACACTCTATCATTTACTTTTAATAGAGTAAGAGTTAGCACAGGTTTTCTCTATCTACTTGCATCCCCACCTCATCACCTCTGAAACCTTCTTCCTCCCCTTTCCACCTTTCATCATAATGGCCTCTTGAATTATTTGGTGAGGGTTGGATTATCATGTTGGCCTCAGATGAGAACGAGCTGATCCTACTGCTATAAAAAGTCACGGATCTCGGACCTCCCCGGTGGCGCAGCGGTTGAGCGCTGGGTTGCGAAGCTGCCCGCAGCCTCTGCAGCGCCGGTTGGATCCCCGGCTGCTCCCCGGCCACCAGAGGAGGGTCCCACATGGCGCGCAGACCTCTCCTGCCGCCCACTGCTCCCCTCAGCAGTGAACTTCGGTCTGCCTGCTCTGCTCCCCGCCCTGGTTCCGGTGAATTCTTTCACCCTCCCGCGCTTCTGACTGTACCCAGTGCTTGTATAAACAAAATAAACAAACAAATAAATAAATAAAACATGAAAAAAAAAAGTCACGGATCTCGCCAACAAAAAGACAGGAAAGTTGCTCAAAGCTCTAGTTATAAATGCTCAGTCTGAATTGCCAAGTTTGCCTAAAAGAACCCAAGATCTATACTGCAGCCTGTCCTAGGTGTGCATTCAGTACAGCAGAGGAGTCAAGTCTTTGGGGGCAGTTTAACCAGTTAGTGAGCAATAAACCGAATACTGAAAAAGAGACTTTACTTTCCCAATTCCTGCTGGGAACTTGTTGTCAGACGATCCCTGCACTTGACATTTCAAAAACCAATGTAACATTGCTGAAAGGTTCCACATCTTTTTTGATCTAATGGAAAGACTGCAAGAATTGATGCCTTGGTTTGGCTACTTATGACAAATTAAATGTTGCAGTGATTGCCAAGTGTTTTGACAAAGGTGGTTCAACTTCCCAAATGGAACCTCAAATCAAAAATAAGGAGAATATTATATTACCCATGATTTCAAAACCATAAAAATCACAGATTTTCAGAGAATGATATAAAAGTTTGAGAGGGGCCTCCCTGGTGGTACAGGCGGTTAAGTGCAGTGCTGTGAAGCTGTCTGCAGTGTGTGTTCGATCCCAGCCAGCTGTGGAGCTACCCACATGGAGCGGCAGACCTCTCCTGTCTCGCCGGCTGCTCCCCTCAGCAGTGTAGTTCAGTAGATCTGCCTGTTCTGCTCCCCACTCTGTCTCTGGTGAATCCTCTCACCCCCCACACCTCTGGCCTGTACCCCGGTTCTTGTATGCATGAATAAATAAATCTTTAAAAATAAATAAAAGTCTGATAGTGGTGCTTGCAGCAAGATGGAATTTATAAAAAGGTAAGTATCCCCCCATAACAGACTTAGGAGCAAAATGGTACCAGAATCTTATAGACAACCATATTCCATGGGAATGAGCTATAAAAGCACAAAGCAGAAGGAATGGAAAAATGTCTGTTTCAGTTCACAAGAGCACAGAGGTATAGATCATCACATGAGGATTTAATATGTTAATGTTGATAATAACAGGTCGAAGTATTCTTAAAATCACTTTTTTTTTCCAATGAAATGACTTAATTTCTCCCCAACAAAAATAAAATTACTGTCACATGCTGCAGTGAAGGAGTGGTAGACTTTTCTGGGCATCCTTGTCATCTCCTACCATGATGGGCTCATAGGGGAGCTTTTGTGCGATTTGCTCATGAGGCATCCACAGAGTATTCGGAGTCACAGTGAGCTCTTCTACAGTAAGTGTGACTGCTGTGGCTTAGCAGGCTCTGAAACATTCTACCTTGACCCCTATTATTTCACCATTAACCCCATCATTCCAGGACTACCGCAGCAAGTTGTACCCCTATAAATATTAGAGTCTGCAGAGGTCTTTACATCTTCTTTACAAGGATTAAAGACATTTTGCACTTGCTGAGAGATCATATCTAGATATTGGAATTCCTGTTTTGAATGGTATTAATCATGATTTCCCCTTTGTACCTGTGTGATCCAAGTGAAATAGCCAAACAGTTTATGCTGCACACAGTGTCATAAAAAGGCCACACAGGGCAAATATGTTGGAGTGTCTCTGTGCAGTGGAAGACATGGACTTGGGCTAATAGGGACAATTGATGGAGATGACTTAACCCTGCACAAATAAGCTGCCACACTTATATCTCCTCCCTCCTTAATATTTCTACCACTGCTGCAGCTTTTTCCACTGAAGCTGTCATTTTAAATTTCCCAGTGATTTCAGATTTAAACCCTGTGGCTCTCCAAGCACCCATTCTGTTTGGCTTGCACTCTTCCCAAATCTGTTTGGCGTGTTAACCCAATGTTTGAAAGACACGTGGAGGTCTTGAAACTTTTTACAGAGAAAGCTTAGCAACTTTGGAGGAAGCTCTGCACTTGTTTAGCCAAGGAACCAGTGTCCTATGCTTTGTAGGAATGAAGCCAAATCCTATGGTTTTATTGCCTTGGCAAGCAACACGCAGCATACCTAGCTCTCGGACTCAGAGATACTAAAATGTGGATTTGATAGAGAATATGTGCATTGCCTTCCAACCAGATGTTTAAATTCTGGACTCATAAGTTCTGCAAGTGAAAATATTCTTCTTTTCAAAAAAGTTACTGATCCACAGGCTACTATCTCAAACATCAGGATTGAAGTAGTAGCTGTAATTTGTTTTTATTTTTATTTATGGCATCTCACTTCTTCTAGTTTCTAGGAGTTCTGCTCATCTTGGTCTCTTCTAAAATAAAAACTTTATTCAAAAATATAATCTTGGATTTCTTAAAAAGCAATAAAATAAAAACCTCAATATTCCCCAATATTTGTGCCTTAATTATTTCTAGGCAAAACTACCTGAAATGATTAAAAATATATATATATTTTTTAGGGGACTACATGGAATGCCCCTCAATAAAAAAATGCCAGAATTGGTTAAATGCCAGAATCCTTTTGTGAAGAGCAGGTGCCATTTGGGAATAGAAGTGTGACTGATATTCAAACTTTCTATCTGTGCAGTCTTTAAAATAATTAGGAAAAAAAACCCTTTCTTTCCTCTGTAAGTCAACATCTAACATTTCTTCACCATGCAATTTCTATTGTATTATAAACTATTAACATTTAAATACATCACTCTTCTAAGTCTTCCCAATGGAATTTAAGTAACATATGAATATGATACCCAGCATTCATTAAAAA